GTTTGAATGATTATTCGGGACCTCCCAAACTCCATACACTAAATTGGTCTGAGCTTTGAATCCGAAATCTATGAAAAAAGATCCTCAGAAAATTGAAAAAATTGATAAATCACCCCAAATTGCTTAACACGATTTCATTTCTGGAACTATAAGTCTCAATGAGCTGAAATTTCCAGAGATTGTACTGGGATAAGAATCTCTGAAAATTTCAGCTTTCTATCTACACCTAATAGAAAAAAGTTATGATTTTTCAAAGTTTTTTGAAAATCCAAATCATAAGGTAGCTGCTTTAGTACTAAAACCAAGGGGTCAACCCGTCGGGTGTTTCAACCACTAAATTTTGTACACCTACTCTATTTGACTGCATTGACAATTTCTAACAAGATTGCAGGCTCCACTCGCAGTGACTGCTTACGACTTTTCACGAGTGTTTATGGAACGTAAGCAAGGTCCATATGTATTCCATTATAGTCCATCTTTGAACAGGCTAAATATGTTATGGTATATTTTATTGCACTTGATAGCTCAAATCCAGGATTAGGTTACATTAGAACAGTATGGCTTTCGAAAACAACGTTCAACCACCCTCGCTGTGACTAAACTAATTGACTGAATGTTTTGAAGAAAATTTCTACACAGGCACAGTTTTCTGCGATTTACAGAAGGCCTTTGACTGTGTCTCACACTCAATTATGATTGAGAAATGAGAAATTACAATACTACAATTGTTTCAAATCAAATCAAGTTTATTCATAAGTTACACAAAATATAGTGTTTTAATAATAAAAAAAATAAAACTAACATAACACTCAATTTATACAAAATAAGAAAAGGATATACTAAATAAAATACATGAAACACATAAAGTACATTACATTTGAAATATTTCTGTGTCCAGGAATTCCTCTATACTGTAATAAGCCCCCTCTATGAGGTGCTGTTTCACGTAGGCATCAAAAGATTTTTGAGACATACTCTTAACATGATTTGGCAGTTTGTTGTAAAATACCGGACAATAATAATTGATTGATACATGAGATCGTGAGATTATCCCCGTGTCTAGTTAAGTAATCATGATAAGAGCTATTGTTATTATAATATTCAATGTTGCCTGCCCTCCAAGTAATTTTTCATCAAAGCCACACTTCCACCATCTAGACCACAAAGAGAAAGCTTCCAAATAAGCACCTCATGTGAAACACAGTCAAAAGCCCTTGAGAGTTCACAATATGTTGCACAACATAATGGCCGTCCTCAATGGTCTCTGCTACGTATTTGAGCAGATCCAGTGTGGCCAAGGTGGTGGAAGAACCAGCTCTGAACCAAAATTGGCAAGTTTCAAACAAACTGTTTTCTTCAAAATATGCATATAGTCTCGCATATAGTTGTTCTTTCATAAGGTATTCGTACACCTTGGACAGTACTGGTAATAACGATATTGGGCTTGGGCAGTAGTTATTTAGATTGGTTTTTTCTATCTTTTTATAGATAGGTATCACCTTCGCATTTTTGAAGGCTACTGGGAAGACTTTATTTCTGATACTCAAATTTAAGAGTTTAGTGAGAGGAATTATTAGAACATTTTTTAGAGCTTTTATCAAAGGAATATTCATTTCATAAATATCTTTACTAAATTTATTTTTGAGAGAATCTATGGGCTATGGCATCTCTAACTTCCACAAAAGTAACTTCTTTAAAGGCAAATTCAACATATGGAGTATTTCTTGCATTCACGTAAGTCACTGGGTCTCTATCAGATTGTGGAGTCTCTGACAGTAACTGCTCGGCTATGTCAGAAAAGAATTTATTGAATTCATCTGCAAACAAACCTTGTTCTGAATCCCCATGCCTCTTTATGCCCCTGTAAGAGTTTACAACCTCCCAGGATGCCTTAACTGTATTATTTGAGTTAATAATGAAATTTGCATAAGCAGTTGTTTTTTTTGTCTGTTTTATTTTATATTTAGATTCCCTTCAAAGAGATTTTATGTATTCCGTAAGCTCTGCGGAAGGCCTGTTATTATTTAATTCATTAAAGAATTTAAGGGTCTCCCGTAGGGTTTTTATTTCTTCATTATGTTGAGTTAGAAAAAAAATCGGAGCAGAAATGTGTTAAGTGTGGTGTGCCTCAGGGCTCTGTACTGGGGCCTATCCTTTTCTTTTTGTATATAAATGATTAGAGTTGCAAAATTACCGGTAAAATAAATTCCGGTAATTTTACATAATATTACCGGTAAATTGGTAAAATTGAGAAATAATAACTTGGTGATTCTACAATGATGCAACATGCAACAGTGACTTTAATTGTAGAATGCCAACTAATGGTGCTAAGATGATGTCGATATCGTATCGATATTAGGTCTGTTCGTGCAGAAATTACAAACAAGTCAGAGTGAATTCCATTGGTTGAAACTAGTTTTCTGCCTGTTTTCAACCAATGAAAAGCTCTCTGACTTGTTTGTGATTCCTTCACAGACCTATTATTGTCTATTTTCTGATACAGAGACGTTAGGCCTTTAACAAAACGCTGATCTGAATAACCCGATTCCCAGCTCATGTAGGTAATTTGGCTTTTTCCGTGTTCATTGAATAAAGATGAAAAACAAGCAGCCTGTGATCGGGTTAATCGAATCATTAGAAAGACAAACCTGGAAATCAACATGGTCATGGTCATTGTCTGTTACGTCGACATACTTTTCTCTCAACTTCACTGCTTTCGTGCTATTTCCTTCTATGTTTCAAAATAAAGAGAGAAAAATTTAAGTTTAACACATATCCTTGGTTTCCCTAATAATTTTGAAGTCTCTACTGCTACGACAACCGTGTTTATAATTCTAGGACTAATTTTACCGATTTTACCAATTTCACCGGAATATGGGTAATATTACGTAAATTATTGGTAATTTTTCCTTACCTTCACAACTCCATAAATGATATAAGAGTGGGAGCCAGCGGTGAGCCGCTTTTGTTGCTGTTGGCCGGTGATACATCCGGTACAACTACGGACAGCAACTTCATACCCTTGCAGTAGAAGATGGTCGGAACACAGGAAAACTTAAATGTCTGGTTTATTTGAAATAAACTAAAACTGAATGACCAAAAAACGAAAACTTTTTATTTCACCTTTAAGAACATGGACGATGGGATTGTAAATGAGAGTGTTGAATTTTTGGGATTCCGGTTGGATCAAAAATTGACATGGGAGCCTGATATAGAATATGTATCAAAAAAGCTAACCACTAGCATCTACATTATAAGATCGTTGAGTAAAATTAAACCCGAATACACTGTTTCAATGGCTAACCACTCCATATTCTTGTCTCACTGTTGGTATGGACTTTTATTGTGGCGTCACTCTTCACATAGCAGCAGAATTTTCAGCCTGCAGCGAAAAGACTCGAGGATTGTTTTTGGTCTTAAGTATCGTGAGGATGATGTTTAATGTATGTTGAAGAATATTTGGGTGAATACAGCTTAATATCGGAAACACACAATCATCAAATAAGAACTGCTTCGAGCCTCAGGTTACCCTTTACCAGGTTGGAGCACTCTAGGTATAGCAAAAACTACTATGCCCCAATGTTTTATAATAAATTGCCAAAAGAAATAAGAGCCCTGAAATTGTGGTTGTAAACCTCGATTTGAGCTATCAACTGAAATGGAATACACTATACAGTATGTAGGTACCTGATATGTATGTAATCAATAGCTTTGTTCCAACACAGCAGAAAACCGTACAATTTACCGTCACGATTCTGCGCAGGGTCTTAAATTTGTGCGTAGGATCCAAAATTCGTATACAGAGTGGTTTCCAAGCTAGAATCCTGTGTGTCCTCCGAATAAAATCCATCACATCAAAGGATACAAAAATCCGAGCAAAAATTTGAGAAAAAAATTCTTCACCGCCATCCACAAGAAGACTCGTTATCAATGAAATTTTTTTTACAAGTATTGCGCGGTAATTCATGGGTATTTCGCGTACTTGGACTGTTTTTGTGTTTAAACGATCATTCGGGACCTCCCGAACTCAATACACTAAATTATTCTGAGATTTGAAGCCGAAATCTATGAAAAAGGGCACTCAGAAAATTGATAAATTCACACGATTTTCTTTCTGGAACTATGTCCCAATGAGCTGAAATTTCCAGAGATTGTAGTCCTCTACTGGGATAAAAATCGCTGAAAATTTCAAATTTCTATCTATGATAGAAAAAAAGTTTTGATTTTTCTAAGTTTTTAAAAATCCAAATCATAAGGTAACTAACTGCCTTAGTACTAAAACGATGAAATTTCAAATTTTTTTATGTTGAAATTTTGTATTTAAACGATCTTTCGGAGACTCTCAAACTCCATACACTGAATTATTCTGAGATTTGAAGCCGAAATCTATGAAAAAAAGAACTCAGAAAATTGAAAAATTGAAAAATTCACACGATTTTCTTTCTGGAACCATAAGTCTCAATGAGCTGAAATTTTCAGAGATTGTAGTCCTCTACTGGGATAAAAATCGCTGAAAACTTCAGCTTTCTATCTATGATAGAAAAAAAGGTATATTTCAAAATTTTCAAAAATCCACATCATAAGGTCTTAGTTCTAAAGGCCTTAGTAGGTATTAAAACGATGAAATTTCAAATTTTTTTATATTTAGATTTTGTGTTTAAACAATCATTCGGGACCTATCAAACTCTACACACTAAATTATTCTGAGATTTGAAGCCAAAATCTATGAAAAAAGGCACTCAGAAAATTGAAAAATTGATAAATCCACTCCATATTGCTTAACACGATTTTATTTCTGTAACTATAAGTACCAATGAGAAATTTTCAGGGATTGTAGTCCTCTACTAAGATAAGAATCGCTGAAAATTACAGCTTTGTATCTATAATAGAAAAAAAGTTATGATTTTCCAAAGTTTTTTATTACGAGATTTTGTATTTAAATGATCATTTGAGGAGACATTCCAAAATCTAGTTGATATTCTTCTTTTCAATTGTTGCAGTGCAAAGAAACGTAATCGTAACAAGAAAACTGTAATGAAAAACGGAGAATCGACAGCTCAAGATGAATTACAAAGTGGAGAACAGGTGGAAGATGCCGCTCTCATCAACTCCCTGTCCAACCCGTTGAATTCGATATCGATGAATGAACTCAAGGCAGCCATGGAGCTCTATACACTTTCGCAAAAGCCTGCAAAGACACCTGAAGAGGCTTTGAAAAAGTCTTATCAATTTTGGAACACTCAACCTGTTCCTAGAATGGGTAAGAATTTATATATCCACTCAGCAAGAATAGTCCTAAGATAAGTTTTCAAATTGTTAAGATTTCATTTAAAAAAATATTGCAAAAGATTACATTTAGGATTACTTCACAAATTTTTAGATCTAGGTAAGATGATAATATTTTATATTGTTTTCTCTTTTGATTGAAGATGAAAAGGTAACTGTAAACGAAGCCATCGAACCTGACCGTGAATTGAACGAAATCCGACAAGAACCCTATTCTCTACCAGACGGTTTCAAATGGGACACTTTACTTTTGGACGATCCCTTAATTTTAACAGAACTTTACACGTTATTGAACGAAAATTACGTAGAAGACGACGATTCAATGTTCCGCTTCGATTACCAGCCGGAATTTTTGAAATGGGCCTTGCAACCTCCCGGCTGGAGAAAAGAGTGGCACTGCGGCGTTCGGGTGGTTAAAAGTGGTCGATTAGTGGGTTTCATTTCTGCCATTCCTGCCATTCTCAACATTTACCAAAAGTCAGTAACTGATTATGTATAGTATTTTATTTGAAATAGACAATTTTAGGCGACAAAATATGGTAGAAATTAATTTTCTATGCGTTCACAAAAAGCTGCGCGCGAAGCGCGTAGCTCCTGTATTAATTAGAGAAATTACACGTCGGGTGAATTTAACCGGCATTTTCCAGGCTGTGTACACTGCTGGCATTGTATTACCCAAGCCTGTTTCCACTTGCACCTACTGGCATAGGTCACTGAATCCAAAGAAACTCATCGATGTATGTGATCCTTATAATAGTGATTTTTTTTCGATAAATGTTGGGTTTCAGATCAAGTTTTCTCATTTGTCTCGCAATATGACGATGCAAAGGACTTTGAAATTGTATAAACTGCCCGACAATCCTAAAACTCCAGGGTTTAGGAAAATGAAAGCTGAGGATGTAAATGGAGCACACCAATTATTAAATGAGGTTTGTACAATTTTCTTCTTTCAGGTTTTTGGAATATTACAATCTATTCAAATCTCATCTAGTATAGAAATATTATCTATAAATCAGAATAGCCACTTATTCCTTTTTTTTTTTAATGAAAGTAACCCGAGTATCATCATCTGAATGAAATACTCTCCTAGTACTAAAATCATGTGATTTTTTCAATCAGGTTTCTTGAAAACATGGGATAAACTTTCAGGTTTAAAAATAGTTGGGGACCAATAAAACAAAGTAGTAGGATATAATTTAGGATATATTCAGGGAAATCTGATAAAAATCTTGAGATTTCCTTGGAATATTCCAGGAAAAGCTGTTGTAATCAAAGAGGGAAATGTTCTATGTACAAAAACTATAAAAAAATTCTGGAATACCTTTGAACCTTGCTTTGAATTATATGTCTTTCTAGTATCTGAGCCGATTCGATTTAGCGCCATATTTCACCAAAGAAGAGTTTGTACACTGGTTCCTGCCCCGTCCAAACATCATTGAGAGTTTTGTTGTCGAAACCAATGGAAAAATTACCGATTTTGTCAGCTATTACACGTTACCCAGCAGCGTGATGCACCATCCTGTGCACAAAACATTAAAGGTGAAATTCTTGTTTAGAAAATTACCTTTCACATATTCAAAATCTGTTTTAGGCAGCCTATAGTTTTTACAACGTCAGCACTACAACTAATTGGGTATCCCTAATGCAAGATGCCCTTATATCTGCTAAACAGCTAAATTTCGATGTGTTCAACGCCCTAGATTTGATGGACAATGGGGAATTTCTGGAACAATTGAAATTTGGTATCGGCGATGGTAAACTACAGTACTACCTCTACAATTGGAAATGTCCATCGATGACCGCCAATCAAGTTGGTCTTGTTTTGCAATAATAAGTTTTAACGGAAATAATTGACCAAATATTGGACCGGTATATTTGATTACGGGGCCTGACATAGTGGTGCGATGTAATTCACTTTATATATTTTGATTGGACACTGCTGCGTTTTTGATTTATGTATGATTATTATATGTATTAAAACTGAAGGCATTATTAAATAGTAAAATATTGATTGTTGAGGAGGAAAATTAGTAATTATTACGTAATTGATTCAGTTTAATAAACAATTTACCAATAAAAAAAATTGTGTTTTTTTTTTTGGAAAAAGAGTTTATGCCAATGTATTTCCATAGAACAAAGGCTCAGAGGATGAGAAGGCCGATATCCATCCCACTCATGATTTTATAGAGCCTCTTACAGCAGTTTCTAATGTCTAGAGACAAATAGCAAGTTTTCTCTGGAACTTGCTAAAGAGCCAGAAGAGCCTATTACAGTACTTTGCAACTTCCAGAAATAGAAAGCAAGTTGAGAAAAATTGCTTTTCAAGGTTTGCAAGAGCCTCTAAACCTGGAATTTGTTGTTCCAATTTGACTCTAGAAGTTGATTCTAGTGATTAAAGACCTTTTTTCTTCTTCTAAAGACAGAATTTAAAAAAAGGCCATTTCGTATATTAACTAGTTGGCATCCCTAGGACTGCACATACTAATTCCTAATGGTTTTAATTTGTAATAAAACTTTTCTAAACATTTTCTTTTTCAATTATAATGCCATTTATAATATTCATTATTAATTCAACTGAAAAAAGTACCTATACATATTTATAACTAATGAGTAGTAATGAGGCTCTTAAAACGACCCTGCAAACTATTTTTTAAAGGACCTCCCCGCACACTTATGGGATTTTGGGATTTGGTCAATTTTTTTGAAAATTTGATGTGATGCTACTCTCAACATTCTCATTAAGAGTGTGTACAACTTGGTCCTATGACTAGTTTTCGAGATAGGGTGTTGACAAATTGATAAATCACCCCTAATTGCTTAACACGATTCTATTTCTGGAACCAGCCTAATACAAGTCCCAAATATATTTAATACCAGCAGTTCAGTGGTCTTGACGTATTATTTTCGCTCCGTGAAAAGAACAAGTTTTGGAATGATTTATAGCAAAATTTTAGTGAAGAGTGGCATCAAGTGAAAGAGAAAAAAAAGCGTCATCTAATACGCTTATTTTCTAGTGGTGGTGCTCGGAAATAGGAAGAAGAAACGCGAAAGTTCTTCATGAAAATTTATTGGTAAACACAGCTAAGGAGGTGAAGTACTGTGGCATTTGCAATAAACATTTTATCAAGTCGGAATATAAACTACTGTGTTCTGGAAAGTGTAAAAAATGGCTATGTCAGAAATGTTCGGCCTTAAGTTATAATGAGGTCCGCAACCTGATAGAAAGTAAAGAAAGCTGGTATTGTGGAACATGCACGGTACCCAGTAGTAGTACTAGAAAGTCTGTATTAGTACATAATAGCTCAGATGAGCAGTCTAGCAGTGAGGATGAGACTCGACAAGAGGAAAACGCAGACCCCAATGTTAAATATACAATAACAGATGTAAGTAGTGAGGCTGCTGGAAATAAATCACGACTATATGAAAAAAGAAATAGGTAAAAGCTCTGAAAAGTGATATAACAACTCTACAAAATTCACTGCAATTTATGTCCGACACAGTGGATGACCTACAAGGAGAAAACAAAACAATAAAATGTTCTCTTCAGGAGGAAAAAAAGGAACTGCAACAAGCAAAGGCCAGAATAAGTGTTCTAGAAGAAAAAATTGACAATACAGAACAGGAAAAAAGGGAACGAAATTTAATAATTATTAACGCCTGTAGGCAGGTGGAGGAAAACACGCAAGTTGTTGTTTCTAAACTTATAGGAAAGGTTGGACATATTTTACTTGTAAGCGACTGGCCGAAAAAGAAAACTCACCAATCTTGGTGGAACCGAAAAGCACAAACCTAAAACAAGCTATCCTTAAAAAAAGAAAAGAAATTGGTCAGTTTACAATGGAGGATTGCGGCTACGTTGGCAAGAAGACATTATACTTTAACGAAGACCTAACCAGAGCCAAACAGGAATTATTTACCAAGACAAGAAAATTCAAAGAGGAAAATGGTTACAAATATGCTTGGATACGAAACGGGAAAATTTATTTAAGAAAAACTGACAACGACCGTCATCTGTGGATCAAAAGGGAAGAAGATCTTATTCAACGCTGCAAAAGCAGGACTCTTAATACCTAATTAAATACTAAGTAATACACTGAATTTTTTGCCTTTTCAACTTAAAAATGGCCAATGTTATTGTTGATTTCTTAGCTTTACCAACTACGGAAGTTGATACAACAAATGTGGAATCACCATTTAATAAAGAAGTGATTTTTCCAGGAGTGCATGGAATTATTTGCCTAACTCTCAATATACGCAGTCTAAGGGTAAATATTGATAACTTTTTGTTATATTTAAATTACTTAAAACAGAAACCTGAAATAATTATCTTAACTGAAATATGGATAAAAAAAAAACGAACAAAGTTTATATGGTATACAGGGGTACAATGCATTTTTCGCTACAAGGGAAGGACGAAGGTCCGGGGGTGTCGCTATAGTATTTGTAATACCCATTTAGAATAACCCCATCCTTATTTATCAATAACGAATCAGATGAAACAAAAAATTACCAACAAAAACAAACGTCGATTGTTAATACAAAACGACAGGTACTTCTAAATACTTAGGTATTAAAAATAGTATATATACGTGACCGACCAATTTGAAGTAAATTCAGCGGAAATTTTAAACATGACTACAGCAGAAGCAATAATGTTCAAATTACATACAATAATAAAATACTTTCAATATTAGGGTTATACAGATCTCTCTGGACTATGATATGAAAGCATACATTGCAGAGTTAGAGCCAATTTTAAACAATATTAATAAAAATGAAATAGTCTATTATACAGGAGATATAAATTTAAACATATTATCAGAAAGTGTAGACGATTACAAAGCACTTCTTAGCAGTATAGGTTTTACATCGTGTATTAACGGCATAACGCGTTCGAACGAAAATCTGGGAACTTGTGTTGACCACATATTTATAAAATGTAAAGAGAATGAACTACACAGTGCTATAGTTCACTCAGATATATCAGACCACTATACTATTCTAGGCGTTATACCTGTCGACACTGGAAATAACGCACGGTCAAGGTGTCAAAAATAAACAATGTAAAAATTAATTATAACAATCTACGATTAAAAATATCTAGATTCAATTGGGATTTTACTAGGGACTGTAGCACAAATATAAATAATAAATTTGACAGATTTCTAAACTCATTGAAAATTATGGTAACAGAAAGTTCTGAAAAAAAAAAGTTTTCCAGTTACAACAAAAAAATAAAACCCTGGATGTCCAGCGGCTTATTAAAAAGTATATAAGAGAATAACGAAATAAATTATTTAAGAAACATAAAAAGGAACCTTTAAATGCAATTATCAGGCAGCAGTATCTGTTATATAGAAATAACGTAAAAAACTAATAACTGTATCAAAAAAATCTTATTACGAAAGCGAGTTACTTAAGAACAAACATAGCATTAGAAAGCAATGGCAAACTATTCATTCAATTACAAATTCTAACAATAATAAAGATCATGTTACTAGAATCAAAGATCCAAACACTAAAGAGTTTAATAACTAATAAGAAAGAAATCGCAAATTTACTCAATAAGTATCTTGTAGAAAATATAAAAAAAGTTGCAGGAAAAAAAGAAAAAGGTAAAAGAGATTGGTCAAGATTAGTAAACAGGTCGAAAAATATAAATCACTCCCTTTTTTTTTCACCCCTCATCGAGTCAGATATAATAGAAAGTATTAATTCATTAAAAAGTAACAAGGCGCCAGGTCCAGACTCGATCACATCCAATATATTAAAAGAGATTAAAAATGAGATATCCCAGGTTCTATCGGAACTTTATAACCAGTCACTTCTTGAAGGAATTTTTCCCGAATGCCTCAAAAAAGCAATCATAATTTCTGTACATAAGGGGGGGACAAAAACAGAGGCAGGGAATTACAGACCAATCGCCTTGGTTTCTATTTTCTCCAAATTATTTGAAACACTTGTTTTAAAAACTTTCTTAAGCAAACACTCATTCTTCTCAGAATATCAATACGGTTTTTTGGAGGGAAGGGGAACCGAACTAGCTCTAATAAGTTTCACTAACCAAATAATAAAAGCCATGGAGGAAGATAAATACATTACACATACATTACTCTCACATGATGTTCTGTTGGGGAAAATACACAACGCAGGAATTAGAGGATTGGCCCTTAAATGGTTCGAATCTTATGTGACTAACCGTAAACAGCAAGTAAAAGTACAAGATGAACTAAGCAAGGAACTTGAACTTCAGTGTGGAGTCCCACAGGGATCAGTATTATCTCCAACATTATTTCTTATATATATCAACGACCTGTGCGACTCCTCACTCAAAGGCATGGTCGCTGCATTCGCAGACGATACTGCAATACTTTATAAGGCCGATACCCGGGAAGATCTGCTAGAAAAATTACAATTTGACCTGAAAATACTGACTGAGTGGTTTTCAATTAATAAGCTCTGTGTCAATGTCAAAAAAACCAAATTTGTCAACTTCTCTGTCAGAAACCAGTTTCGCTTTAATATTCCGCTTAGGTTTCACAGTGTGGAATGTAAACTTACTCAATGTAACTGTAGCGAAATTGAGCAGGTCGAATCAATCAAATACTTGGGGTTGACCCTTGACCAAAATATGACCTGGAAGACTCACATTTCTAATGTAAAACTAAAGCTGAATACTATTCTACCAACATTTTATTTTCTTCGTGGAGTGGTACCCCAAAGTACATTAAGAATGATGTATATGGCATTGGTGCAATCTGTAATAACCTATGGAATAAGTATCTGGGGGGCATTTACAAAAGTAATAAGCGACCACTTTTAATTGTGCAAAAATGTTTCATCCGCGTTATATTGAGAGCTGGGCACATGCAGTCATTTGGGCCGTTATTTGAGCGGCTTGAAATATTAAATCTGGAAGCATTACACAGACTGCATTGTTGCAACTTAATTTAACAATATCTCAAAATGTCTCAGCCTTTAGTCAGATTAACTCTATCGTTGAATTCTTTCTACTATCAGGGGCCTAAAAATTTCAACTTTATCAGGGTTCCAGCTTCTTTAACACAAGATAGGGAT